TCAAAAATTATAATTTTTATGTCTTTTTATGTCCAAACGCCTACTTAAATTCGTAAGAAAAAACTGCAAAGGTTGGGTGTAGGGTCTTTTAAACCTTTTGGCGTAGTAATAAATATGGGACACTTGTACAATGCAATTGGAGCTTGCGAAGTGGAAAGTTATTTAATGGGGAGCTCCTACATCAAAATTCAAACGGCTAAAACGGGTGGAGATTTATGCCTTATCTATATTTCCATCCAAAAGATGCATTACTTTCAACATCGTAAAAGTAGAAAAGATGAGCTCGACACTAGTGTATGTTTCATGCAACGGTCAATTACATTCCTTATCCTAATGAAATAAAAAGAATATTCGTATAAAGAACTTTTTCAATCAAACCCTTGTAAGATGATTTTTCTCGATGGTGGATAGCGATGGTTATGTCCGATTTCCGTGTAAAAATTGTTGGGTTTTGTTAATCAAAACAAAAGTGGTGTGAATGAAAAGTGGAGGGAAATGAAATTTAATTAGTCCTTTTTACAAAGAAATTTTGTCCCTCATTGGAAAGGAAGAGGAAAATTCTTGTGCTTATATATTTATATAGAAGCACTTCTACTAGCTCTTAGAGAGTTGAGAAGAGACCAAGCCTCGCGCCGTCGTCGTTGTCGCTCGGCTCCAGCTTCAGCATTCTGCATTGTTTTTCCAAAGAAAAAACGTAAGCGTTTTGTGTGATTTGCTCCGCCATTTGAGTTTGCCGAAGTTCTGTGATTTGAAGTGTCGCTATCACAGAATAGTTATTCCGTTCTATCCTGGAAGGAATTAATCTGTAACCTTGGACACCTGTGAGGGGATTAAATTCCCTAAGGACACACAAGGAAATTGTGGCTCGAAATTTTTCTGTTTTGTTTTCTTAAACTCACGATTCTAGTTTTCTGGTTTTGAATACAAAGTATTAACAAGCTTAAGGAATTTATTGTGACGACCCAAAGGGTCATCACCTGTTTTCTTACCCATTCTTTGCTTCCGAGGCCTTGAACACCTTATTTAGAGTCGCCTTGATTTGCGTGCGCAGTCCGGACGCGTAGCAGGAAAACTTAAATATGAAGTTCTGTGAAAAATGCTAAATTTTGGTGTTAAAATGAATAAGTTTGACTTTGGTCAACATTCTGGGCAAACGGACCCAGGCCCGTGATTTGACGGTCCCGGAGGGTCCGTAGGAAAATATGGGACTCGGGCGTATGCCCGGAATCAAATTCCGAGGTCCCGAGCCTGAGAAATGAATTTTTAAAGGAAATTATTTTTCTGAAATTGTTAAGGAAAATTGAAATGGAAATTGATTAGAACGTGTTGGTATCGGGCCCGTATTTTAGTTCCGGCGCCCGGTACAGGTCTTATATGTGAATTAAGATGTTTCTGTAAAGTTTGGTTGAAATCGGACGTCGTTTGACGTGTTTCGGGCTTAAAGTTCTAAATTTGAAACTTAATGAAGTTTGAAGAAAAACTCTTGATTTTTGAGGTTTGATTCATTGTTTTGATGTTATTTTGGCGATTTGATCGCACGGTTAAGTTCGTAGGATGTTGTTGAGTTAGTGCATGTGTTTGGTTAGGAGCCCCGAGGGCTCGGGAGTGTTTCGAAAGTGTTCCGGAGTGGTTTTGCACTTATGAAAATAGCAGATTTTGCTTCAGCTATTGCAGACCCCATTTCTTCTTCGCGTTCGCGACGCATCTTCCGCGTTCGCGAAGCTTTGATCTTTCTTTCATCGCGTTCGCATCCCTGCCTCGCGTTCACGTCGGGTTATTTGACCCTGAGGGCTTAGCTTTCTTTCCTCTTTGCGTTCGCAAGCATATATTCGCGTTCGCGTAGCTTTGCAGGATTCCTTCATCGCGTTCGCGTGATGGCCCACGCGTTCGCGTAGGTCAATTTCTCGGCCACAGCCTTTTTACTCTCCGGGTTTGTGTTCTTCCTCTCGCGATCGCGATGGTCCGTTAAGTGTACTCATCGCGAACGCGACCAGCCTGTCGCGAACGCGATGGGTAATTTCGCCAAGTTATTTTTAAAGCCCCAAAACAGAATCATTACGGGATTTCACCAAGTTTTCACCAAAACCTTTCTTCTCCAAGCTCTTGGGCGACCATTGGAGCAATTCTTCATCAAAACCTCTTGGGTTAGTAATTCTTAGCTTATTTTCTTCCATTTCCTTCAACATCTATTGAAATGCTAGGTCTAAAACATGTGATTTAAGGTAGAAAATTGGGTATTTGGGTAGAGTTAGGGCTTTTTGATTTTTCTTGATTTAGACCTCGTTTTGGGGTCGAATTTGAAAACAAATTATATATTTGGGCTCGTGGGTGAATGGGGGATTTGATTTTGGTCCGAACCTCGTGTTTTGACCAAGCGGGCCCGGGGTTGATTCTTGAGATTTTCGGAAAAATGATGGAAAAGCTATAATCAGGCATTGGGTTTGTATTGTTTAGTATTTATTGATGTATTGAAGTTATTATTGTATAGATACAATTGATTTGGAGCTGAATTCGAGATGAATGGCGGTTATTGAGGATTGAATTGGCCGTGGAAGTTTGAGGTAAGTGTTTGGTCTAACCCTAGCTTGAGGGACTAGGAGTTGAGTCTTATTTGCTAATTGCTTCTTGTCGAGTACGACGTATAGGCATGGTGACGAGTATCTATATGTTGGTGTCTAGCATGACCGTGAGTCCTTAAATTGTGAATATCTTGATTTCGTTGTATTCCACTTACCTTGGTGATGATTCCTATTTGTTGTGAAAAGCTTGCGAAACGAAATTGTGACCTATGAACATCGAGGAGCATTGGCTCAAGTTATATTATAAATGTGAAGGTATATGAAATGATTAAACTCTTTGGAGCATTGGCTCAAGTGGTAAAGTGAGATATGAAATAAAAGTGAAAGAAAGAGAAAGAGTATTTAAATTATTTTCCCTTGCCGGGACGTTGAGGTTATTGATGTTGTTCCCTTGCCGGGATTTAATTGTTTAATTGTGTTCCCTTGCTGGGATTTCTATTATTATTTTGTTTATTCCCTTGCCCCTTGTTTGAGATTGTTGTTTGGGTGAGGAAGAGTGTACGAAGGGTGATGCCGTACATTGTTTGTTTATTGTGAGGAAAGAGTGTAAAGCACGAAGGGTGATGCCGTGCATTGTTTGCTATTGTGAGGAAAGAGTGTGAAGCACGAAGGGTGATGTCGTGCCGCATGATGTACCATTCCGTGCCAATTCTATTGATCATATGTGAGGAAAGAGAGTAAAAGCACGAAGGGTGATGCCTTGAACATTTTATTATTCTAATTGCATTCGTGAGGAAAGAGAGTAAAAGTACGAAGGGTGATGTCGTGCACGTTTTCATTATATTATTTCTTGGTGAGGACGAGAGTAAAAGCACGAAGGGTGATGCCGTGCACGTTTTCATTATATTATTGCATGGTGAGGACGAGAGTAAAAGCACGAAGGGTGATGCCGTGCACTTGTCTTTGATTTTCCTAATTTTTGCTGATAATTGAGTTATGTTGCCCTTTACTGCTATTTACTGATTTTCTTGTTGTTATCGGTTCAAGTGCATTAATTGTCTTATCCCACTATTACTGTGATTCTTGGTGATGGCATTTTCCTTTATTGTGTTACTTGTTATTAGTGGCTCGAGGTATCCTTGCGCAACATTATGCCTTGAATTTATGCTATAATTGCTACATGTTTATGTGACTTAATTGCTACTTGACATTTAGCATACTAAATATTAAATTGCTTATTTGCTCCTTAAAGTCCATAATTAATTGGTACTTGTCATTACTTGTTTTCCTCAGTGAGTCATAATTATTGTGTACTTGTTGTCTTATGAATTCGTAGTAATTGTTGCGTTTGTTGGAGTAAATTTCATTTGGAAGAACTGTTGACTTAATGAAATGGGAGCGGGTGGTACGCGTACCACGAGATTTAATAAAAAATGGGATCGGGTTGCACGCCTGCAACGAGATATGTGCTGATAGTGAAATCTATTCTTATTTCCCTTATCCGTGTTAGAGTTAAATTATTGATTTGCTTTATTATTTTCTTGAAATTATGTATTATCTGCTATCCCCGAAGCATGTTCCCTCCCATTTAAAATGTTTGATCTTGTTATTTTCCCTTTGTAGATATATACATATATATATCTGTACAGGTTGATGTGGTAGTCCTGTTTAGCCTCGTCACTACTTCGCCAAGGTTAGGCTAGGCACTTACCAGCACATGGGGTCGGTTGTGCGATACTACACTCTGTGCTCTTTTGCACAGATCCAGGTCCCGGACAGTAGCAGTAGCTCGGGAGCCAGCCTTCAGTCCACTGAGACTCCGAGGTAGCCTTGCACGCGTCTGCAGACCCGACGTCTCCTCTATCTTATATTACATTCTGTTATCTCATGTTTCGAGACATGCAGTGTTATGTTCCTTTCAAACGATTGTATTTAGTACACTTAGTAGTCCGTGGATGATGTGACACCAGGTTCTGGTTAGAGGCATGTGTTGGTCTTCGGGATAGTTTGGTTTTATATTTTATTTAAGTCTTCCGCTTTAATTTCATATTCCGCTATCATTTAAATATTTAACGCTTGTCGTTATGATAGATAAAAGGATTTAAAATGAAATAGGTAGGAGTTTATGTTTTGTGGCTTGCCTAGCTTCCACGAGTAGGCGCCATCACGACCCCCGAGGGTGGGGAAATCCGGGTCGTGACATTTATAATTATTTTTGTATTCATCTTACTTCTGGTTTTGGACGTAGTGATTTTCTACTCCCGTTTTGGAGATTAAAATCTTTGGATTTTCTACTCCTGTTTGAAATTAAAGTGGTTGCGACTTTCTAGTCAATCCGAGATTAAAATCCTTGTGATTTTCTACTCGGTTGTTTGTATTCGGTTTGAAGATATAAAAACTTCACCGAGATACTAATTCTGGTTGTGTCAATTTCTTTTACAGAAAAATGACAAGTACGAACAATAAAATGGTTCTGTTGGAATGACTACTGCTGCAATGGCTACGACGTCTTCAAGTCGCACAACGCCTGCACCGGCGATGGCACCGGCAGAAAAGCCCGAAAATTTTTTCGGCGTGGACTTCAAATTCTGGTAGCAGAAAATGTTCTTCTACCTGACCACACTCAGTCTGCAGCGCTTTATAAGCGAGGATGTTCCAGTCTTGGGAGAAGAGGTTCCGGCTAATGAGCTGTTTGTGGTCACGAAGGCATGGAAGCATTCTGACTTATTGTGCAAAAATTATATTGAGTTATTTGGAAGATGGCTTGTGCAACGTTTACAGTGTCATGAAAACTTCAAAAGAGTTGTGGAACTCTCTTGAAAAGAAGTACAAGATGGAAAATGCTGGACTTAAGAAGTTTGTTGCTGCAAAGTTCTTGGACTTTAAAATGGTTGACAGTAAGTCTGTCATTACTCAAGTTCAAGAACTGCAAGTCATTTTTCATGACCACCTTGCCGAAGGTATAAATCGAATCAATATTGTTATTACAGATATTTATTATATTATTAATCCTAAATTTATGATTGTTGGTGTGGTCATAAATGAAGCGTTTCAAGTTACGACATTTATTGAAAAGTTGCCTCCGATGAGGAAGGTGAAACATAAGCGCAAAGAGATGACATTGGAAGACCTTATTGTTCGCCTAAGGATTGAAGAGGACAACAAGGCTGCAGAAAAGAAGTCTCGTGAAAATTCAACAATAATGGGTGCAAATATTATTGAGGAAGCTTCAACGAGCAAAAAGAGAAAGAAGTCGTATGGAATAAAGAATTACCCAAGCAAAAAGAAGTTCAAAGGTAATTTCCGCAACTATGGAACGGTTGGACAGAAGGCTGCTGAATATCGTGCACCAACAAAGGACAAGAAGAAAAGCCAAGAAAACATGATTGAGAAGAATGATGAAATAGACGATTTATGTGCCATGCTTTTGGAATGCAACCTAGTCGGAAATCCTAGAGAATGGTGGATTGAGTCGAGGGCAACTCGTCATGTTTGTGCTAACAAGGAGTTGTTTACTTTTTATGCTCCTGCTGGACCCGACGAGATAGTTTTTATGGCAAATTCCACTACTACAAAAGTTGAAGAAATGGGCAAGATAGCTTTGGAGATGACTTCTGGCAAGATTGTGGCTCTAAATGATGTCCTTCATGTTCCTCTAATGCGGAAGAATTTAGTCTTGATATCACTTCTAGTCAAGAACGGTTTTAAGTGTGTTTTTGTTTTCGACAAGGTTGTAGTTAGTAAGAGTGAAATATATGTAGGAAAAGGTTGCCTTACTGAGGGCCTTTTCAAACTCAATTTAATTGCCATTGACATGAATAAAATTTCATCTTCTTCTTACTTGCTTGAGTCAAATAATTTATGGCATGAATGTTTAGGCCACGTCAACTTCAAAACTTTGCAAAAAATGATTTATTTGGAAGTATTGCCTATGTTTGAATGCAATAACTCAAAATGTCAAATATGTGTGGACTCAAAGTATATTAAGCATCCTTATAAGTCAGCTGAAAGGAATTCAAATCCTTTAGACTTACTTCACACAGATATTTGCGATATGAAGTCAATACCATCTCGTGATGGGAAAAAGTATTTCATAACTTTTATTGCCGACAGTACCAGATATTGCTATATTTACTTACTTAATAGTAAAGATGAAGCAATTGATACATTCAAGCAATACAAAAATGAAGTTGAAACTTAACTAAACAAAAAGATCAAAATGATAAGAAGTGATAAGGGCGGCGAATATGAATCTCGTTTTGAAGAAATATGTTTGGAATATGGCATTATTCACCAACAACTGCCCCTTACTCACCGTAATCTAATGGAATTGTAGAAAGAAAAAATAGAACATTAAAGGAGATGATGAATGTCTTGATAATAAGTTCTGGTTTACCTCAGAACTTGTGGGGGGAAGCTATTCTTACAGCTAATCGAATACTCAATCGAGTTTCCCATAGAAAAACGCAATCCATTCCATATAAAAAATGGAAAGGAAGGAAACCCAACTTAACATATTTTAATGTGTGGGGGTGTTTGGCAAATATGTAGGTTCCTAAACCCAAAAGGGTAAAGATTGGACCGAAGATTGTTGATTGCGGTTTCATAGGATATGCAACAAATAGTAATGCATATCCTTTTCTGGTTCATAAATAAAAAAATCCCGATATTCATATTAATACGTTAATTGAATCAGATAATGCTGAATTCTTTGAGAATATTTATCCGTATAAAATGGAATGTGAGTCGTCTAGTGAAAATCTAAGCGACCTCAGGAAGAAGCAAAGGAAAGTACTTTTGATGAAGATAATCCAAGACATAGTAAACATCAAAGGATAACTACTTCCTTTGGCCCAGATATTCTGGCATTCTTATAGAAAATGAACCTCAAACGTTCAAAGAAGCAATGTCTTCCTCGGAAGCACAATACTGGAAAGAGGCAGTCAATAGTCAGACAAAATCCATATTAAGTAATCATACTTGAGAATTGGTTGATCTTCCTCCGAAAAATAAACCTTTTAGTTCTAAGTGGATTTTCAAAAGGAAAATGAAAGCTAATGGCACTATTGACAAATATAAGGAAAGATAAGTTGTTAAAGGGTTTATACAATGAGAAGATCTTGATTACTTTGACACATACTCGCCGGTAACAAGGATTACATCTATCTAGGTGTTTATAACGTTAGCCGCTGTGTATGGCCTTCAAATCCATCAGATGGATGTGAAGACAACCTTCTTAAATGGAGATTGGGAGAAGAAATTTATATGGAACAACCTGAAGGGTTTGTAGTTCCTAGAAAAGAAAATAAGTTGTGTCGACTTGTTAAGTCACTTTACGGACTAAAACAAACACCAAAACAATGGCATGCAAAATTTGACCAAGAAATATTGTCAATTGGTTTCAAGATCAATGAGTGTGACAAATGTGTTTACATTAAGAATACTCCAAATCAAATAGTCACTATTTGTTTATATGTGGATGATATATTGATAATAAGTAACGACATTGCTAACATAAATGCTACTAAGCGCATGCTTACTAGTAAGTTTGATATGAAAGACTTAGGAGTTGCCGATTTAATTTTTGGAATTAAGATCCTTCAGACTCCTCAAGGTCTAGCTTTGTATCAATCTCATTATATTAAAATGGTGCTTGAAAAGTTCAAATATTTGGACTTTAAAGTTGCAAAAACGCCAATTGATTTAAACCATACTCTTGTAAAGAATAAAGTTCAAAACAAGTCTCAATTGGAAGATGCTCGAGTGTTGGGAAGTTTGATGTACATTATGAATTGTACATGACCTGATATAGCTTGTGCGATAAGTAAGCTTAGTCGATATACAAGTAATCCCGACCAAGCTCATTGGATAGCAATGGAATGAGTATTGGGGTATTTGAAATATACCGAAGACTATGCATTACATTAAAATAATTATCCCGCAGTTATTGAGGGATATAGTGATGCAAATTGGATCACCAGATCAACAGAATCAAAATCCACAAGTGGATACGTTTTGGTGGAGGAGCAGTGTCTTGGAAGACATCCAAACAGACATGCATCGCCCGCTCTATAACGGAGTCTGAGTTTATAGCTTTAGACAAGGCCGGTGAAGAAGCTGAATGGCTCCGGAATTTCTTTGAAGATATTCCATGTTGGCCCAAACCTTTGGCACCTATATGCATACATACTATAGTCAAGCGACAATAGGAAGGGAAAGGAGCGTTATGTATAACGGGAAATCTCATCACATACGACGAAGACATAATACTGTTAGACAACTACTCTATAGTGGAATTATCACAATTGACTATGTAAAGTCAAAAGATAATGTATCATATCCGCTTACAAAATGCCTAACTAGAGAGGCGGTTGAGAAGTCATCAAAGGGAATGGGACTATGGCCGATGACAAGTGTCACGATCCCAGTTCACCCCCTATGAATATGTCATGATGACACCTAGTTCCTACAACTAGGTAAGCCTAACAGTGCGGAATAACAAATTAACATTTGCGGAATAATTAATTAAAACTGAACATACGAAAATAACAACTGTATATAAGGCCACTCGGCCTATACAACTCAAAAATATGCGGAAGTCTACAACTAAATCCCAAAACCCGGAAATTCACGCACTACTGGAAAATTCACCTATGGCTACGCATGGGAAACCGTTCCAATAGGTAAGTAAACCGTTGCCATAGATATATTGCAACGGTTCAGTGCCCGTTCCACAAGCTGTCGTGGCTATAGAGCTTATGGAACGATTTTTGGAACGGTTCCAATAGCCGTTGCTATAGTACAGTCTATCGCTACGGTTTTCCCTCTTCCTGTTGGAATGATTATTCTTATCAATTGCAACGGTTAATAAGCGTTACCATAACGTTAAATGCAACGGTCAATAACCGTTACTATATCTATTAAACCATTACGGGTATAGGAATGACAACGATTTCTTTAAGATATTGCTACGGTTGAACTACCTATTGCAACGGTTTTTAGATTATTTTGGAATGGTTTGCAGATCCTATTGCAACGGTTTTTAGATTATTTGGAACGGTTTGTATGTCCTATGGCAACAGTTGAACTACCTATTGTAACGATTTTTATATTATTTTGGAAGGGTTTGCAGGTCCTATGGCAATGATTTAGTTAGCTGTAACAATTTAATTGAATTGAAAATAGTGCCCCCTGTTGTAAATAAAGATTTTACATATATATACAATAAACCATAAAACACTAAAATTTATATAAATAACAAAATGAAACTATTCATAATCCAAATTGTCCGACAAGCTAATAATAAATCCATAGATAGTGATGAAACCGATAACATACATTTGATATTTCAAGATCAAAAGTTATAAAATGTTTTGATAACAAACATTCCTAGAAACCGCCACATGCATCTACAACAATCAACAATTCAAAATTCAAGTAAGGTCTAGATCTTCATCACTGCCTCCGTCTTCCATCTCTTCATCTACTCCACCTACAAAAGAGTATAAAGTGAGATTTGCAAAATGGATTATGCTCAGACCAAAGATAAATATAAATACAAGTTTATGAAGCCAAGAACACTGACATCAACTGAGAATTAAGAATGCAAACACAATGAACAATTTTAAAGCAATCATGAGAACTGCCTTGGTCATTTGCTCTACAAGTCTGGCTAGATACTGAAATTCTGATTTTTGTGAGTCCAATAGCGATAATGTTATATTGTTGTGCAATGTCTATATTGTATCTTTATCTGCTAGGCTCCACATGATAATCCTACAGAACGACAAGATTTAAATGAAAGCACCTTGGACCTATCTTTAGGCTAGGAGGCACATGAAAAAAAGAGAGCACGCTAGAGATGGTTGGTTGGTCAAAGTGAACTCCAGTAGCACTGAGTCAATTTGGCTTTCTATAAAATGCTGCTCACGATTGAGCATTGAAACTGCCTCAGCTCTTTCATCCTAAGGTAACTGTAATTTTATAACCATTGTGTACTGCAAGGTAGACTCACTATTTTTTTTTAATTGGCCGAGTTGATAATTTTTTCCCAACGACCATAGTGGAACATTTATATTGGAATTAGTTGGATATGCTATTCTATCAAGATTGAAGGGCTAATATTCATTATTTTATTCACTTTGTCTTAGTATATGCAAGTTTAGATTTTTTGGAGCAAGTATTTGTTTCTGTATGTATCGTCATAAGAGAGAACAAGTGTCTCAAGTGTTTGCACTAAACAAAGTACCAACAGAACTCCTGGCAGAACAACAGAAGTAGCAAAAGCTAACATAGTACAGTCTATGAACTATGTTATCAATACTTACCTTGAGGTAGAGCATTATACATAGCTTGTGGCAAAATTTTTATCAATACTTATCTGCTGCACTACAAGCAGTCAAGATGAAGAGCAGCAAAATTATTAAAAAAGAAAAGATGTTCATGCAAAGTTTGATGTCCAATTGTTCACTCTTCTTTATTCATGGTAATCTGATAGAAGATGACAAAGTGCTCAACGAGACAAGGACCTTTATATCATCGAATTCAATCTACCTAGCTTTTATCCAGCGTATCTATTCACATAACGAGTATTCTACAACAGAAAGAGGACGCAACATACACATTTACAGAAAATAGAATGTTCCTACGAGGTATTATGTCGTTAGTGAACTAAAATAGAAGCTCACTACCGTTGAAAATTTAAGGAAGAACTAGCTATGCTTAATCAGTACAATGATAGAAAGATTTTTTGATATTGATAGTGAATTCAAGGATAACGTATGTAGCACACATCTTTATGATGGCAGCATATACTTAAAATGAACAAGCGAGAGTTATTGGCTGATGTAAAGAGCAATCACCTGGACAAGAAATGCAGAAACGTTCTTTCTCTGATCACCCTGGAGTTGAATAACCTTCAAAAACAACAATAGCACATGACATATTAGTCACAACACTCAAAAATGACCATGATGTTGTAAGACATTTAACAGACATATAACAATCTCCCTAAAAAGAAAATGAAACAGAATTAGAAGTGATCGAGAACACCAAAAATAATCTGCAACGACTATATAGCCTGTATCTTTGAGCAGTGCACTCATGGTTGTGGGAAGAACATTAGAGTGGATAATCTTGTCGCTATTAAAAATCGGGAACTTTGTAGCTGAATCTCTTCTAATACCCTGTTTATGTATTTGTCTCAATTTACTTTTACTCAAAATCTTATTGTTTATTTGCTGAAAGGCTGAATGTGATTTTACTGTCAAGCGCGAGATCCTTTTACCAATTATAATCTGCTGTCTACTATCTATACAGCTGCCTCATTGTTATTTTACCAAAAATGGCTACAATATCAATGACCAAAAACTAGATCTAGAGAAACTAATTCATATCATTACATCACTTCTTATATAACTGGTCAACATAAACACACATTCCTTTTCTTCTGCAAACATCTAAGAATATGCATCCAGAGAAAAAAGTTCTCAAGTTTATACTTCAATGGATCAAGCTTACGTGAATTCTCAGGTGACAAAACATATTTTTATCACACAAAACTAATATTGGAAAAGTAGTTTAAGAGATAAACACTAATTATCTTTTCAAATTCACTGAAAATTTAAGAGAAAAAAGTGACGACAGCTATAGAGACATTTTAAAAGCTCATCTAACGAGACCCTAAATCCATAACAACATCACTGCGCCAATTTCAACCAAACAACTCAAAAACAAAAATAAAAAGTAAGAAAAACGAAGCCAAAAATCTAATGTGAGACCCTTAAAGTCCATGGAAAAAATAGAACTTTTCCCCAATTCAGCGAGATTCACAATAATTACAAAATAAGATGAGCATATAGTGATGTTTAGCTGGAGAAATTGGGAAGAAGATGCGAACCTGAAACCCTAAGGAAGATGGCAAAACCCTTATGCGAAAATGCGCCAACAGGAATGAAATTGTGGAATTTGGGGATTTTTTTCGGATGGAGTTTGTATATTTTAGGGGTTTACATATATATATTTTCGATTAAAGTAGATATAAAACTTTAAAAAAAAATTAGATTGTGGGCCCCACCTTATTTTAGCGGGTATTGAAATTTTTGGTGAAAAATAAGGAGGGAACTAAAATGACCGTAACAATACATCTAACCGTTACCATAGATGTATGTATTGCTACGGTTATATAAACCGTTGCCATATATACATTTATAGGAACGGTTATTGAGACTATTGCAACGGTTCAGTTGCTAAGTGTCCCGGTAGTTTGAACAGTTGTTTGTAACGGTTATAACCGTAACAATAGAACACCTATTGGAACGGTTATGGATCCGTAGCAATAAAAAGCGTTGTCATAGCTCCAATTTCTAGAAGTGGGGGTTAGAGATAAAGAAACTTTGGTGGGATAATTCAGAGCTGCATAAATTATCAGCTAGAGTAGTTCGAGAGAATGCTCTAGTAAATTATCGTAGTTGATCGAGAGATAATTGCGGTAACCCATAGCTCACAATCCTCATAGAGTATCACGGCGAGATTATAGCAAAAGAGTTAAGAATTAAGCTAGCAATTGGGGAAATCAATACCCTAGATCTTTTTACCATTGAATTATCTTTAATTTAGAATATTGTTAGTTTTAATATCCTTTTACATTAGTTAAACAAATCTCACCGTTTATTGATAAAAATCTTGCATCTGGAAATTGTTTGAACCTGTACTAGCATCACTAAGAGTTGTAATAGATAGGTTAGTTCCCTGAGGATTCGACTCCGGACTTGAAAAACCAAATTATATTTGCAACGACCGCTTTGTCTTTTATAAGGCATAGTTGGGCGTGACCATTTGGTACCAGAGAAAATAGTACAAGTCAATTAGATTTTATGTGTTCACTGTTGGAGTTTCTGCACTTGCATTTCTAAAAATAAAATAATGAGAAATTTTCACAAATCACTATTGTTTAGTGGTTATTAGTTAACTATAGCTACCATTTACTAAATTACTTCATATAGTTATATTTTCAGTTGTTATAGAGTGTATTCGATGTATTTAAGCTACTGTATTCATGAATACAGTAGCAAAACTGGTGTGAAACAGGGGAGTCCAGCTAAGCAACTGTTGTATCGATTGTATTCGACTGTATTCGCGAGCTGTATTTGTGAATACAATAACGTAAACTGCGTAAAAAATGGTCTTTTCAGCTGTTTAAAACGGTAAG